TTATTCCCTGATGTGATATTCTCAGGCATAGTTCAGAGACCATCTTTTCCTGGATGGAAGTGCCATGATTAAGCTCAGAGGAGGTGTTTGAGTAGACAATTTCCTGGTGTAAACAGAAAGGAGACAAAGCAGAGGAGGTTTTCAAGAGCCTAAGCTCAAGAAATACTTCCCCAGATTGCTTCCATGCCATACTCTGATGATACTTCACTGCTTGCTACATATAGCATGTCCTTACTTTTTGTGTGCATTGTGTGAGTTGGGGGCAGGGAGCAGTGCAGATGGGTGGAAGCTGCAGTTAAGTGGAACCTTTATGCTAGATGAGATGTGACTTTTAATGACTCATGACTTTAACATGAATGGAGGAAGGGGTATATGTGCCTGTAAATTTACAAAGGTTTTATGTACCTTTCAAAACTTTAGTAATCAAAAAAGAAAATGTAACTCTTCACCCACATGTCCTCATGTGCCACATAGGGTCTCTTCTCAGAAAAGGCCTATGATTTTAGCAGGTTACTTTGTGCCACCTGTTTTACTTTCTCCCTTAATAGCACTTTTGGTCAGGAACAGGTAGAGTTGACCTCCAAAGCAGTACACCTTACATTTTTCCTAGTCTTGATTTTTTTTATGAGACCATTCTTAAAGGATTTGAGAGTAAGTAATTGTATTTCTGAAGGATTTTACAAGGTTTATTGCTGTTATCCATGACAAAATATTCATTAAACTTGCTTTTTCATATCACTGTCCTTTTAATTAACACACTGTTTCTAATGCAACAGAGCATGTTCATTATAAGTCCACTGTTAGGGACAAGTCCAGCTTTCTTTGTGTCATGATGTGCTCAATTTCTTATAAGTTAACTGGAAGCTGGAATGGTTTTGTGCTTTGCAGGGTGAGTCATTGTACTATTTATTATTCTGGTTTTGACTGAAATTATGCTTTGTCATACAAGGAGTAAAATTTCTGTTTAGCAAGGTGAGTTATTAGGAGTAGCTGTGTATGTATGCAACTCAGCTTTAGTGTCTGTTTTTCGTTTGTGCAAACTGAGTAGTAAGCTTAGAATCAAGATCCAGATAAATGGTGTTGGTGTCTCTATTCTGGATAGATTAGGGAGACACAAAACTTGGAATATGTAAGAACTTTTGTATTTTCAGCAATCATAGCTCTCTTTGTGTTTTTGTTTTGTTTTGTTTTAAAAAGCATCTTAAAATAAATTGCCCATTCAATCTTCCTGTTACCAAGGTGATAAACTATGTGTCACTCTGGAGTCTTGCTCTTTCCTTGACTGTTGTTCATTTGTTGTAGTTATTTTGGGGTCAGAGTACTCCTCTGCCTATGGTGCTAAAATATATGTCAGTATGTTTTGCTGGGTTCTTTCTCACCTCCTGTGTAGTCTTTGGCCTTCTTTACGCCCATCTTGCCCTTGTCCTAGTCCACTTAGAAAATCATGTCACGTAAATCATCTTGTGCCAGATGAAGTATTCTTATTATACTAATACTTTATTGTTTTGTAGAAATTGAATTACAAAGTAACATAATGCCTGGAAGATACAGATTAGTCAAATCTTTGGGTTTGCAAAGTACTGTGGAAAAGCAAAGAGGAAATTAAACCTCAAGGTACTGTTAAACAGAACCAAAAAACTTTCAGGATGTTGTGGATAATCAGGCAAGTTGTGATCATGTTATTAAGGAAGACACCGTACTGTTGCAGTTGTGCACACATAGGGCATTAAGTTATTATTGTACTTGCACTTAGTGCAGGTTCAGTGCTCCTGAACTCTTGAGTGCTTTTGCATATAATGTATACATTCTTCGGCACAATATTTTTATTTAACAGATGCATTTAGCTTCATCTCTGTCTGAATAAACTGATTCTATATATTTTTTTTAGCATGAATGATGGGATGTCTCATGTAACTCTTTGATTTTTTTTTTGGACTGAAATATGAAAATGGAGCTTTGTTCTGTTCAGATTTTTTATACCAAAATAAGCATTCCTTCAGGGAAGAATTTGTGCAGAAGACAATTAATTTAGTGTCAACTCAACTGTTACAGCCAAGAATGTTAAGTTAAAGGTAGAGCATGCTATCTTTATTGCGGGGTTAACTACATCTTTGCTCCTGTGGTCTTTTAGAAGTGACCTTGGCCTGCTTGTTTACCAGTCATGTGGTAACATCATACAACTTCTCAAGTTCTCAGACTAAGTGCTAGTTTCTAACCTCTGGGCATCAGCCAGGGTTACTCCAGCAGATCTGATGAATCCACTCATCAGCATCTACTTACCTTTTTTCAGGAGGTCATGTCCAGTGGTAAATACTATAGCCCCACAGTAGTCTTGTATCAAAGTGTTGTACTTCTTTCCTGTCATTAATACTCAACAGCATAGGAGGGAAAACACTGTAAATTAGTGTGTCTGCAGTTCCGTTTTACAAAAAAATGCTGACAGGTCACTGACTCTTTCAAGTAATTGTCTTTTCTTAGGGACAGCAGACTTTCTTCATTCAAATATAAACACTCCCAGTGGTCTGAAACATACTGCAGTGTTTTAGACTGTAATTCCTCATTTGTCATCTTCACTGCTAATAAAGGGGTTCATGGACCCCAGACTTTGCCAGCAGGCTCCCTCTGACCTGTGGCAGCTCTTTGGAGTGGTTGGGGTTAAAACCAATATTTTCTCGCAGTGAACTGATCTGGTTTGCAAGGCAGACCTACAACAATTGTGGTGGTGTAATGGAGGAGGCGGTGGAGTGAAAAAGGAGGGTGGGATCTCCAAAAACTAGGATGAGGAGGGGCCTGGGTTGTGGTCTTTGTAGGGAAGCCAGTCTGGTGGTGAGCTATTGCCAGGATCCCAGTGTGTCCTCTCCCTTTCTCCCACCGTTTCCTCCTTCTGTTCAGTTGGATCTGGAAATCACATGGTGACAAGATGAGTCTTCTGCCAGATCCACTTTCAGACTATTCTGGGTGGCAGGGGGAAGGAGAAAATCTTTCTGTGAGCCAGCTGAATCAACTTGCCCTGTAGCTGTATGACTGGGAGGGCTGGGGTTGTGTGGTTGGTGGCAGATGGAGGGACTGGCTGCAGGACGCGGCAGCTAAGATCAGCTCAGGACACTGGGTAACCTCAGCCAGAGGCAGCAGTTATATGGAGTGTAAGCTCCTGTAGGTCGCTGCTGCTACCAGAGAGGAAATCCTGCCTCCCACAGTGCCTCACCACCACTCCCCTCTCTTGTGGGTCACCAAAACCACTCACAGAGCCAGGATATGAACGAGATCAGGATCTTGGTACAGATTTTAATAACCCCTTTTTTTTTTTTCCCTCTTTTGGATGTATGTTGGATAGCTATGCACTCGTTTTGGCACAAAGGATGGGACTAGAAGGAATTTCAGGGGACAGGTGAGACTGATTCTGTTGGCTCTGAAGTTAAACCCTGAGACTTCTGTTTCATAATACATGATGAAGTGATCCAGCAGGTTTCTGCTGCGGATGCGCTTTACTTCCTCCCCTCCCCATTCCCAGCTGCATGCTCCTGGTGCCTATTTTGCATCCATTTTGGCACTCCTCAGATACCTCGATGGACCAATCCAACTTGCTAGACTGGTTTTCCTCTGTCAGATAGGTTGAATCTGCTCATTGAAGGGTCTTACTGATGCCAGAGTTAGCACAAGGTGGGGGCAAAGTGGGGTGTGTGGTTGGAAGTGGGGAAGCAGAGGGAGAACCACCCCTGCTAGTGCTGTCTGGCTGCTCCTGGAGCCAGAGCCCCAGGGGGAAGGAGTGGGGAACCACACCTTCTGGTTGGACCTCGCAGCGCTAAACCAGTCTGGTGAGCTCTGCTGATGGAGCTGGACCCAGGTTCCTCAGAAGTGGTTGCACTTGTCTGTCCTTGCCAAAAGCCATCATCACTTCTGTCTTTCTGGTTGTTTCTTCATCACCCTGTTGATCATTTCCAAAAGTGATTAATATATGTCTCAGTTGCTGGGTCTCAGCGTAGATTTACTATTTATTAGAGAGTTTGCAGTTA